GGGGGGGGGGGGGGGGGGGGGGGGGGCGGATGTTCCAGCTCACGTCGGAAAGGCTCAGTGAGCTGAGTCTGAGGTCGGAGAGCGGCGGGGCTTAGGCGTGGGACGCAGACACGGCCACGGCCCCGGCCCGAGCGCGACTGCAGCGAGCACGGAGAGCTGGAAGTGGAGGCGGATTTCGCCCTGGAGGGGCGGCAGGGGCCGGGGGCGCTGCAGTCCTTTCCCCACGCTCCTTCCTCCCCCGGCGCTGCCTCAGAGATGGCCCCAGCACCGGGGCTGGCGTCACTTCCAGGACGTCGTCATTCCTATCCAGGCGCCCGCTTTGACGCTGCAGCGCCCTTGCAGCCCCTGGCTCGTGGTGAAACACTCGCTCGCCATCCCCTGCTTCTGGGCGCATCGTGAACAGCGTGCTGCAATTACGGAGCTACTACGTGATGCCCCCCTACGCCACCCCCAAAGTGACGGCGAGCGACTTTTGACAGGCAGAATGGCACCACAAGCTAATCAAGGACGGGGAATTGTCTTTAACATCTGTGGCCCTTTGCTGGTAGCTCTGGACTGGCAGAACCCCGGAGATGTTCTGCTTGTTTCTCCCTGTCCAAAGCTTTTCCCAGCACAAGGTCCTGAATGAGACGCCCATCACCGCGGTTCCTCGCTTCCAGACCACAGTGATCGCTGGCGATCACTTTACAGCCGATAGCAATCTCCTGATGGAGAAGGCGCGGGACCCCCATGTTAGGATCCTGCGTCTTCTCCAGCGGACCCGTTGTTCTGAGGACATCGACTCCCAGTTTTCCAAAAGCATCTCTCTTTTCAGGTATCAGGAACGATTATCACTAACGCCTGTGATCTCCATCGCCTTGGGATCTTCAGTCCCAAATTATAGTTACATCGTACACGTCACAAGGCGCCTCCCATGTATCCGATCATTTAGAAGTAGAAGCCAGATCTACTCGGGAATGCTGCCGGTGAGCCACACCTGTCACCTGCAGCTTCCGAACTGGCAAGGAACTGATATTCGATACCTGAACTTTAGCATATTCTCCGAATTCCTCTGGACACAGCAACGGATCTATCCCGAAATGATGTCAAATGGCAAGAGAAAAAAAGAAGCTACCTGCCCCTACTGCTGCAGCTTAATTCCCACCGTTGCCCGCAACAGGCAAGACCTTTCCGGGTCCAGGGTGCTGAATCTTAATAATGATGCCATGACAATCAAGCTGGCTGCTGCCGAAGACAGGCTTCTCTTCTGCTCTCGCTATTTCTGCCTGTGCTTCGCCAGCCCTCCCAGGGTTATGCTGCATTTTCCCGGCTTGCAGGCTCCATTCACGCCGATTTCAGCACCTCATTGGAGGACAGCGCCAGGGGACTCAGCCAATGAGCAAAGCAGAGGAAATATTAAACCCGTAAGATTCATTTGTCACTGCTTTCGCATACGTGTTACTCCTGCACCTCTACAGAATGCTGAATTTCTCTCCCCATCACTTTCAACACTCACGTGACTTTTTAGTAGCGTGTCGACAATTCTGTATATTCCTCACAAACCACATACCACACTAGACTAAGAAACCCCGGGCTTCAGCCCTGGCAGAGAGGCATGTTTTTTAACTCAGATCAGTCAGATTAATTTAACTGGAAGCTCTTATGCAAGTCTAATTGCAGAAAATCAATTGGTAAAAAACAGGCAAATATCCTACAACATTATTTCTTGCCAAATAATATTTTTCAGGTGAAAATTCAATGCCATTTAAAATATAAAGAAACCAAGTGAAACCAAAGGAAACCCCCCCCTCCGGAGTTTACATCCCTAGGTCCAACTCGAACCAAAGTCAGCACAACTACAACCCAACTCATTCAGTATACCTAGTGATGACCGTCAAAGTCAAATAATGTAGCCTAGTCCCATTCTCTTATCAATTACTTGATAACAAATATTATATGAAAGATATTAAGAACACTTATTACATACACAACTTATACATCTAGCAAGGTCATCAGAAAGGAATCCCTACTTATCTTAAGATCCAGTTTTCCCCCCATGTGAAACCACATACAAAATTATCGTATTCTAATTCATCCTAGACTTTACATAGAATTAATTCAGAAGCACTGAAGATACAAATCTACACCGTCCCCACGAGATATTACTTTGCACCAGAAAAACAGACTGTTTCTCCTCTGAGTCATCTCAGTTCATGCAGTCCACCATACTAATTCCAGAACTATAAGGTCTGGATTTTCACCTCCACGCACTCCCAAGCATAGCGAGGGTCCTGGATATGAGGACAGAGACTGGGGAAAATAGCTAAAGCTAACACGAATTAGCTGATTTCCTTTCGAAAGCTTAAAGCTCCAAAACAAACCTTTCCCTTCACGCTTTCATTATACAGAAAACTTAAAAACAGATGAAGATAGATTATTTGAGAAGAGATTACAGTAGGTCTCAAGTTAACGTTTATACCCAATGAACACCCAGCTGACCAACCAAGGATCCTTCCAAAATTTACCCGTGGGCTAATTCGAAAAAATAAATGCCTACTACCCCGTTTGCAGTGCTGCAGTCTCAGCGTGTCCTGAACCAGAGGACATTTGCACTAATTCTGCAGCTATTCAATACGAGTAATGTAGTAGTGAGAGGGATCCCCGGACCTCATTAGCAAAGCAATAGTTGTAGAGCAAATAAACCCTGGAAATCTATTTCCGGCTGGCACTAGACAAACCGCCAAAGCCCATTTACGCCTGACAAATGTGGGCATGGAAGGTTAGGGTCATTCAATATTTTTCTTGTTCAGTAAATCCCAGTCGAACAGAAAGCTGCGATACAGTTGTATGCGGCCAGAGTCAGTGCTTTGATCTGTGATCACCTCTGCCTACATGTTAACAAGTAGTGTAAGAAGGCTACGTTACCTGGCAGGGTGCAGAAAGCCTGCCCTGTGCGCCTAACACCTGGTGGTACAGTCCCGGCTCACAGCTGTTCAGTGTGTTCTGGCAGCTCCCAAGGGGGCTGGAGGTCAAGGGCTTTTTCCCCAGAAAGTCGCTGTGGTGGGAGTTCGTGGTGAGATACATCTGCTGGTAGAAACTCGGGGGCGTGAACCCGCTCCGGACAGCATCCACGTGGTTGGAAGGCCCCGGCGTTCTGTACAGAGAGCTCCTGGAGCTGCTGCAAATGTCCCTGGATTGCCTCCATTTGTAAAACTTATAGATGCCCGTTGCTATCACGGTGACAAAGAAGGTCACGGAGACCAAGATCACAGCCAGGGTTAGATAGAAAGTTAAATGGTTCTTTTTGTCACGCGCCGTGGCCAGTTTGGTGGCATCGGGCAGGGCCTCCTTTACCCTTTCCACCACAGTCACGGTGACGGTCACGCTGGAAGACAGCGCGGGCTCCCCGTTGTCTTTTACTAAGATGACCAAGGTTTGCATAGGAGCGTCGTCCTCCAGCGGCTGGCGGGCGGTGCGGATCTCCCCGCTGCGCAGCTCCACAGAGAAGAGGCTGGCGTCGGTGGCCGAAAGGAGGATGTAAGAGAGCCAAGCATTGTATCCCGCATCCGCATCCCAGGCTATGACCTTGGTGACCATGTGACCGGCGCTGACTGCAGGCGAGATCCTCTCCGGGTAGGAAGACCCGCCGTTTGGACGCGGGTACAGGACCGTGGGCGCGTTGTCGTTCTGGTCGGTGACGAACACGTGGATTGTGAGGTTGGTGGCAAGGGCCGGGGTGCCTCCATCTTGGACACGCACCGTCATTCTGAACTCGGGCAGGTCCTCGTGGTCCAGGGAAACAAGGAGGTAAATGGTGCCATTCTCTCGATTAATAGAAAAATACCTGCCCAGGGGGTGGCTCGAGGGGCCGTTCTCCAGGATAGAGTAGGAGAGACGGGAGTTCTGGTCTAGGTCCGGGTCTGAGGCACTGACGTTAAATACTGGAACACCAGGGGGGTTGTTTTCTGCCACATAAACATCGTACGAGAGTTGGGAAGAGCTGGGTGCGTTGTCATTGACATCTGATACTTCCACCAATATCTGTTTCTCCGCAGACAGGGAGGGCGAGCCCGAGTCCTTGGCTATGACGGTGATATTATACTCAGATTCCTGCTCCCGGTCCAAGGCTGCTTTGGTTTTCAACGTATAGTAATTTTTAAGGGAGGAACTGAGCGTGAAGGCGATTCCATGGGACAGGAAGCAGTTTACCAGCCCGTTGTCTCCGGAGTCCAGGTCAGTTACGCTCAGCAAAGCTATCACTGTCCCGGGAACTGCGTCTTCGGGCACAGGGCTGTACAATGAGGTCACTTGGATCTGCGGAGCATTGTCATTTACATCAATGACTTCCACCAACAGTTTGCAATGAGCTACTTCCGGATAAGGACCCTTATCTTTAGCTTGTATGTAAATCTCATAGAATTTCACTTCCTCGTAATCCAGCTGCCCTTTGACTCTCACTTCTCCAGTAGCAGAGTCCAGCGCAAAGAGTTCTCGCACCTTGGCAGGCGTGTGACTACTGAAGGAGAAAACGATGTCCCCATTGGGCCCCTCATCCAAGTCATAAGCGTTGGTTTGGACAACCAGAGTGTCCCTGGGGGTGTTTTCCCTTACACTCGCTTTGTAGGTGGACTGGTTAAAGACCGGAGCGTTATCGTTGGCGTCCAGGACATCAATCTGTATGTTCACACTGGAGGATCTGGGCGGGCTGCCCCCATCCAGGGCTGTAAGGACTAGCTGCAGCTCCTTTTGCTCCTCCCTGTCTAACTCTTTCTCCAGCACCAGCTCTGCATATTTGCTACCATCCCCTCGTGTCTGCACGTTGAGCACAAAATGCTGGTTGGCGCTGAGCCAGTAAGTCTGCAAAGAGTTAATCCCCACGTCAGGGTCCTGCGCGCTCTCTAGCGGGAAGCGCGCTCCAGGCGCCACCGACTCACTGATTTCCAGTCTCATCTGGCTGCTGGGGAAAGCTGGGTCGTTGTCATTGATGTCCTGGATCTCCACAGCGCCGCTGAATAACTCCAGCGGGTTCTCCACCACAACCTCAAAGCTCAAGGTGCATGGAGAGACAGCCCCGCAGAGCTCCTCTCGGTCTATCCGCTCCTTCACAAACAGCAGCCCGCTCTCCAGATCTGCCCCAAAGTACTTCCTGCTGCTTCCAGACACCACCCGGAGCCTGCGATCCGACAGCCGCTTGATATCCAACCCTAGGTCCGCTACCACATTCCCCACTGCGGAGCCTTTCTGCGTTTCCTCTGGTATCGCATAGCGAATTGCGGCGGAAGCCCAGTCGGAAACGCCAAACACAAACAAAAGACTAAGTACTTGCCGTTTAGAGACCCGGCGGCTCCTTCCAGCAGCGCCGTTCATGTCCCAGAAGGGCAGCTCTGACGCAGGCGTGTACAAGGTTTGTTTCCTTTAGAAACCCTCAGCTCGTCGCTTCATGGCGCGACCCGGCCAGTCCCGGGACGTGGCTGTGCGGCGCAGAGTCGGCATTGCTTTCCTGCACTGACTCACTCCCTGGCTCTCGCTTCCTCAGCCTCATCCCAGCGCGCGGCCGGGACCGGCAGCCAGATCCCCGGCTACATCATTGGCCAACAGCGGCACACAGAGTCCCAGCCAATAACTGCACGGAGAGCGCCGCGGCCGGCTTCCCACGGGCGGAGCAAGCGCAGTGCCGGGAGCTGCGTCCTACGCGCTATCAAGCCGCCCGCCCGAGACTCAGACCCAGCGGCGCGACACCGCTACGATGTAACGCTAGATCAAGATCCTGCCCTCGAAGATCACGCACATACCCAGGCACGCAGGCATGTAGGATTTAAGCTGTTTCTTGCTTCTCAGTGTTAAGTGATGTTGCAGTCGGGATGTTCCAAGAAATATGCCAGAAGCAAGGATTTCTGTGGGCGAGACCTTTGATTGGATCGACTGAACGGTTGGGATAAACGTAGACAAGCTTTTAAATGCAGCCCCATTCTTCCTTAGGTACACTTGAAGGTTGTCTTCATCTATCCCAGACATGCAGTTTTTTCTGAAAGATCGCCTAAGTATTCCAGGTCCAACGAAACAGTTAGTCCAATAAAAACTGTCACCCGCAGAAATCTGTGTTTCTTACTTCTAAGTATTTCCTGGGACGAAAAGTCTCTCAGAACCGGAATACTTGCATCACAGTCCTGAAAGCAAATGCTCTCCTCCTCGTCTGACATGCTGATCGCCTCCCGATCTTACGGGGATTTCCTTTGTAGACTGAAAGAAAAACGTATCCCAGCAGGGAGCCCAGAGAGCCGCCAGCACATTTTATTCGATCTCGTTAGAAGTCTACAGTTCAAAGCTGTCCGAAGTGAAACTTTCGGAAGAACATCGTTTCAATCCAGACATACGGGGCTTATCTCCGGTGGAAAAGACAAGAACTCCACAGCAATAGACCCCGCGCAGGCACCGGAAGCAGGGCCATGAAGTGCAACATTTCGGCCGTGGAGCTCGGAAGACAAGGGAAGAGCAGAGCCAGTAAGGACTACCACGGTGGAAACAGTGAGCGAGCGACTCCATCAGCAAAGCGAGGGGGAAATGGAAAGACAGCTATAGTCCCCTGGAGCACAGTAGAGGAGAGGAGAAAGGCTCAATAAATGCAACACCTACAACCATCGAGACATGTCATATAGGCGCTCCTCCCAAGACCCTGATCTTTGCCCGTCTTAGGTGGAAATGGATCCGAGTTGGCCCAGTATCAACCCATGTGTCAGTTCAACATCTTTTCTAAGAGGTTTCAAAGCAGCACGATGAGAAATATCCCTTCAGATGACCAAGTCCTCCTGACTTCTTCTGGAGGTCTGGGCAGATTTTTTTAGTCTACTCTGTCATCGGGATTGCATTGAACATTTCAGGATTTGGCTGTTCAGCAGCTAAGCCAATGACTGGGACAGTAAGGTCAAGGATAGGGCATACTCTGCCCTGAGCTCTGCACAGGAGCCAACCATCATGCCTAGTAAAGGACATCAGGTGGTCCAGCTGCCATTAGACCGTTATCTCTTCCCACCCACTGCTCTGTTCACACATCGCTATTTCCGAACTATAGGAGACACCAGCTATAGAAGACAAACTATAAGCTCCTTTCGTGGCAATAATTTGATGACAAACCTGAGGTGCTCCCTTTTTTCCAAGCACTGTGATAATCACCCAGCAAGAACAAATGGAAATGGTGGCTAACATGATAAGCCACAAAACCAAACCTGTGCCTGTTGAATAATACCCAGATGAAAATAGAACTGAGGAGGAAAGAAGGAAGGTGTTGAATTCTTTGGGGTAATTTGTTGACTTCTGTGAGGAAGTGAGTGACCTGGAGGAAGCACAAGCAAATGTGGGCAACAGGGTAGGCGTTCTTATTCTTCCTGAGAAATCAGGGTTAGCTAGTTACCTCCAGTAATGTCATGGTGGAGGGTCTGCTATAGATCTCTAAACCAAGAGGAAGTGGTGGATGAGGCTTTCTTCAAACAGCTAGCAGAAATTTCCCAATTCCAGGCTTTAGTTCTCATGGGGAACTTCAATCACACTGACATCTGCTGGGAGAACAATACAGCAGTGTGCAGGCAATCCAGGAAGTCTTTGGAGTGCTGGGGACACCTTCCTTCTGCAAGAGCTGGAGTGGCCAACTAGGTGCCATGTGCTTCTTGACCTGCTGCTCCCAAACAGGGAAGAATTGGTGGGAAATGTACTAGTTGATGGCAACTTGGGCACCAGCGACCTTGAAATGACTGAGTTCAGGATCCTGAGGAAAAGAAGGATGGAGAGCAGCAGAGTAAGGATCCTGGACTTCAGAAGAGCAGACTCAACTCATTCAGAGAACTCAGTGACAGGACCCCCTGGGAAGCCAGTCTGAGGGGGAGAGAAGCCCAGGAGAGCTGGCTGTATTTTAAAGAAACCTTACTAAGAGTCAGAAACAAACCATCCCTCTTTGCAGGAAGACTAGCAAGTATGGCAGAAGACCAGCTTGGTTTAGCAGAGAACTCTTCAGTAAGCTAAATCACAAAAAGGAAGCTTATAAGAAGTGGAAGCTTAGACAGACAACTAGGGATAAGTATAAGAGCATTGCTCCGGCATACAGGAAGGAAGTCAGGAAGGCCAAAGTGCAACTGGAGTTGCAACTTGCAAGGGATGTGAAGGGTAACAAGAAGGGTTTATACAAGTATGTCAGCACCAAAAGGAATGTCAGGGAAAGTGGGGGAGCCTTACTGAATATGGGGGGCAACCTAGTGACAGATGACAAGGAAAAGACTGAAATATTCAATGCCTTTTTCACCTCAGTCTTCACAGGCAAGGTCAGCACCCAGACTACAGCACCTGGAAGCACAGTTCAGGGAGGAGGTAAACAGCCAACAGTGGCAAAAGAACAGGTTAGAGACTATTTAATAAAGTGGGACATATACAAGGGACTTGGGGGTCATGGTTGACCACAAGATGAACATGAGCCTTCAGTGTGATCCTGTGGCTAGTAAAGTGAGCAAAAGTGGCTTACATCCATAGATGCTTCTCAAGCAGATCCCGGGACGTCATTCTCCCGTTGTACTTGGCCTTGGTGAGGCTGCAGCTGGAGTACTGCATCCAGTTTTGGGCTCCACAATTCAAAAAGGATGTGGAGAGGCTTGAAAGGGTGCAGAGGAGAGCCACGCACATGATCAGAGGTCAGGAAAACAGACCTTATGATGAGAGGCTGAGAGCAATGGGGCTATTCAGCCTGGAAAAGCGCAGGCTCAGGAGTGATCTGGTGGCCACCTATAAGTTTATCAGGGGTGCTCATCAGGATCTGGGGGAACGTCTGTTCAACAGAGCCTCCAAGGGATGACAAGATTGAACGGTCACAAACTCCACTGTGACCGGTTTAGGCTGGACATAAGAAAGAACTTCTTCACTGTCTGAGCCCCCAAGGTTTGGAACAGACTGCCACCTGAAGCGGTTCAAGCGCCCACTTTGAACACCTTCAAGACACATTTGAATGCTTATCTTGCTGGGATCCTATGATCCCTCCTGACTTCCTGCCCCTGGGGCAGGGGGCTGGACTCGATCTTCCGGGGTCCCTTCCAGCCCAAATGTCTTATGAAATCTATTAAGTCCATGGGGCTGGACAGAATACATTGTAGGGTGCTGAGGGAGTTGGCAGATGTGACTGCAGAGCCACTGGTCATCATCTTTGAAAACTCATGGTAATCAGGAGAGGTCCTGGATGTTTGAAAAAGGGCAAATATGGTGTCTATATTTAAGAAGGGGAAAAAGGAAGATCCAGGGAACTACAGACTGGTCAGCCTCATCTAAGTCACTGGAGAAATCATGGAGTAGGTCCTCCAGGAATCCATTTCTAAGCACGTGGAGGAGAAGAAGGTGATTACGAGCAGTCAGCATGGATTCACCAAGGGCAAATCTTGCCTGACCAACCTGAATGCCTTCTATGATGAAATGACTGGCTCTGTTGATGCAGGGAGACCAGTGGATGTGGTATACCTTGATTTTAACAATGCTTTTGATATGGTCTCCCACAGCATTTGTACAGACAAGCAAAGGAAGTGCAGGTTTGATGAATAGACTGTAAGCTAGACAGAAAACTGGACTAAAATCTAATATTGGTTCAATAAGGGCAAGTGCAAAGTCCTGTACTTAGGACAGAACAATCCCATGTACTGGTATAGGAAGGGGGTTGACTGGTTAGGCAGCGGCTCTGCAGAAAAGGACCTGGAAGCTATAGTGGACAATAAGCTGAAAATGAGCCAAAAGTATGTCCTTGTTGCCAAGAAGGCTAATGGCATACTGGGCTGCATTGGCAGAAGTGCTATGAGCATATCATGGGAAGTGATTATTCCCCTCTATTGGGGACTGGTGAGGCCACATCTGGAGTACTGCATCCAGTTTTGGGCCCCCCACTACAGAAAGGATGTAGACAAATTGGACAAAAATTGTTGTAGAGCTTGGGCACAGGACTTATCAGGAGAGGCTGATGGAACTATATTTATGCAGTTTAAAGGAGAGAAGACTGAGGTGGGATTTAATACCAACCTTCAACTACCTGGTGGTTCCAAAGAGGATGGAGCTAGACTCTTCTCGATGGTGGTAGATGACAGAACAAGGAGCAATGGTCTCAAGTTGCAGCAAAGGAAGTTTAAGTTGGATATTAGAAAAAACTCTCTCACTAGGTGGGTAGTAAAACACTGGAACAGGTGACCCAGAGAGGTGGTAGAATCTCCAGCCTTGGACGTTTTTAAGACCCAGCTAGACAAAGATGGGGATGGTAGTGCTTTGAGCAGGGTGTTGGACTAGATGACCTCCTGAGGTCCCTTCTAACCCTAATTTTCTCTGAAACTATGATTTAGCCTGAATTAAAGAGAGGA